TGCTACCTAGATAACGCTAGCCTACTGTAATATCCTTTCAGTAATGTTGAGAAAATGAAGGAGGCTCTGTTTGTTAATAGTGAATAATGTTGACTCCCTTGTTAGAGAAGTAGGTGCGTATTTCCCTAGACTCACCCTGGAATTGCCCATTTTTACCTAAGTTTGTGTAGAAAGGCAGTTTCTATCAAATATTCTTTGTGTCTATTCAGGAACTTTCTGTGCAATAGACAAATGGAGAGGTGAACTTTTCAATTTCTTTTCTTAAAATTGCAAGTTTGGAAGAACTATTACTAATCCTAGCATTAAATTACCTGAGGATATTATACCACCTAATGAAATTTTAATGAAGGATAGGATCATCAGGTTGGTTGTAGCATTTATAAATTAAGGTGCACCTCATTCTTCAGATGTTAAAAATATAATTTATATCCTGTGATGTGCTGGAGCCAACTCAGACTGGCTCATATAAGAACTGCTTGTTACATTTTTAGAAATTTTGTAAGTAGGTTGACTTTGCATTGGTAACTTGAAATTGGGTGTGGTGGAAGTATTTATACCATGGAAACTGGCAAACACTACCAACCAGGTTTTTTTTTCCCCCCCCTGGAGAGCCAGTTTACCAACACACTGTTATATATAGCTAAGATTTTAGAGGCTGATAATTTAATGATCACAAATCAATAGGGCTAGCACAAAATAACAAAATTACATTTATGGCTGCTTGGATTTTAAAAGCCACAAATTTGGGGTGTGGAAGAAAGGTGTTTTTTTGTTTTTTTGTTTTTTTTTAAAGATTATTTGTTCACAGAAGCAGACAAGAAGGATCAGAAATCAAGATCTTTCTATTTGCTTCTTACACCTCCCAGGTCAGGCGGTTGATTTCTTGCAAAATGTTGTTAGAATGTACACTCCAGGTTACAGCCACCTTCTGGATGTTGTGATAACAGCTTTCCCAGCTCCCATACTGATAACACAGTTCAACTTTGTCATATGCAGCGTCATATCTTGGTTACAGTGAGTGTCTTAGGCTATTTCTTCAGGAAAAGAAAAAGATTCCAAGAAGATTTAGGTAGAGGCTCTGGTTGATCATAATCTATAGTGTTGGAGCAAGTGGAGACTGATGAGGGTTAACCTCAAGTCCTTCAGTGGGAAAGGACTTAATGGAAATTACAGGAAGAGGCAGGACTTAAAGTGTCACTCACTGACAAGGACATCTTTGATTTACTACCCAGAGGCGCACGATTTCTACCTTGTCAAGGAAGGATGGATTATTTGTGACATTCCAGAGGCAAACATGTTATTGGAAAATACATGTATGAAGGGATAAATGGTGAGACAGGTCCTGGATGTCTCAGTTTGTTTTCAAGTGACACAGAAGCATGGATGAAAGCCTTGAGTTTGTTTGTGTGGAGACTCGAGATAGAAATGTTCTCCATTTGTAAGGGAATTTGAGCAGCAAAAGCAACCTGAAATTCCTCTGGTCTCCCTCCCCATCCCGACACTTTTGGTAAGCACTTGGAAATTTGGCGAATTCTAAGGGATTGTGTTAGATCTCACTGTGTCATCTTTTTGATGTCTCCATCCAACAGGTAAATAACACTGTTTATGAAATGAGAGAAAGTGGCGTTCTGTAGTCATCTTTGGACTGAACTAATTATTTTCTTAGAAGGGAGATTTATTTTTAATGTTGTGGTATTTCTAGGGCTTATATTTTTAAGGGAGAACTACTACTACTTCCGAAAGGATAAGATACCATGTGTAGCTAAACATGTTGGGACTCAGACGGATAACATCCAGTCTTCAGGTTATTAGAAAATGTGAACCACTGATGGCCTCATTCTCTGATCCAAACAAAATAGAAGAGTTTTTAGTAAAGAGAATATTATCAACCAGATTAAAATTAATTTCCTGAAAATAAAATAAGTCCTGGTAGTCGGAAAAAAATAATCCTAGAACAATAGAGTGCAGGAGTCACTGTGAAGGTGCTGCTGGTGTCGTTGAGGCCAGGAATGGCAAAGATAATTAAGAAAGGAGAGTTCATGAAAACCATAGATGGGGACAAAGGTTTACATCTTGTATTGAAGACTCAAGAGAATTAACTCTTAATCTCAGGAGAAATAAAGTTTTGGTAAACCAGATTAAAAATAAAACAACACACACACACACACACACACACACACACACACACCCAGGCAGCTAAATAGACCTAGTAAAGGAAAGTTTTCACAAATAGACTTTTTAAATAGAGCCTAATTCTGAAGTCCTTGACTGCTGGCCATCTGTCACCATCTCTTATCACCATCCCCCTTTAGGTGAAAATCCCTGCCATTAGTATTTAAATACAGGCCATAGAAAGATAATCTATTAGAATATTATTGAATATATGAATAACAGTCAACCAGTGTTAAATATCTATATCTAAGTAATTATTTAAATGAGCAATAAATAGCTTTTTGTTTTTCCTCATAGTACAATTATTTTCATAAATTACCTTTAAAAGTAAGGATTTTTTTGCCCTGGTCAATGTTGTTCAGTGGTTAGAACATTGGTCTGTGTACTGAAGGGTCACGGGGTTTGATTCCCAGTCAAGGGCACCTACCTGGACTGCAGGTTTGATCCTGGGCCCCAGTGGGGGTGCAAGCGGGAGGCAACCAATCTATGTGTCTCTTTCACATCTATGTGTCTGTCTGTCTGTCTCTCTCTCCCCCTCCTTCCCTTCCACTCTCTCTAAAATTCAATGGGAAAAGTATCCTCGGGTGAGGATTAAAATAACAAAAACAAAAATTAAAGATTTTTCAATATGAAAGGCATTCCCATTCTAGAAAATGTTATAAATAGAGAAAAGTAGAAAGAGAAATAATATAATTCTGTCACCAAAGGCAACGGGAATGAAACACCAATGTCTTCTTTTCTTCTGCTGTTGTTTCATGTCATACTTGTGTATTTTATTCCCGCCCTTCCCGTTCCTGCTGCTGCCATTCATACTGCCACCAGCTTCGCCACCCTCCGTTTACTGAAAGTAACACTGTATCTTCACTGGTCCTCACTTATAATTCTGTTCAGTTGGTCATTTTTAAAATACCATTTTCCAAACGATAAAATGAAAATTCAAGGTTTAGTAGGTGGCAGGGTTCCGACTGGGTCCGGGATACATCTAATAACTTCAAAGACTATTTTCTTTACATGTCATCACACACATCCTTTCTTATTCTAAAGATAATTCTGTCTCCTGCATTTTTACTTTTAAAATGGTATGGGAATTTCCCCATACCATTAACACTCATTATAAACATAGTTTTCATTGAATTCTAACAGTCCATTCTATGACTATTTTTTTATATTGATGAATTTTCAATTGTTTTCATTTTTATATATACTGCTTCATTTCTAAAAAAACAAATCATTACAGCCCGACTGGCATGGCTCAGTGGTTAAGCATCAACCCATGCACCAAGAGGTTCCCAGTTCGATTCCTGGTCAGGCCACATGCCCAGGTTGTGGGCCCGATCCACAGTGGGAGGCATGCAGGAGGCGGCCAATCGATGTTCTCTCTTATCAATGTTTCTTTCTATCTCTCCCTCTCCCTTCCTCTCTCTCTCTAATATTAATAAAGAAAAAAAAATTTAAATCATTATGAAACGTGATGTGTGAAGGGTAGTCCAATCAGACTGGGGTCTAGAAGAAAAGCCACCCAGAAAGGGGCAGGGCTGATGCATTAGTCAGGATTCAGTATTGGAGGCCTTTTCCCTGAAAGCCACTTGCTAAGCAAATATAGACAGACACCAGCTTATAGTCAAATGCTTTTCAAGTTAAGACTTTTTATATAAAATTCCAAATGTGTTGCTTTCTCTCTATGTTGCTAAGGTCTTTGCTTTCATCTTATCCAGTTTCTGACTTCTCTGACAGTATTCTGATCGTATCTCCTGACAAAATATTTAAACGTTTATATTCGCTTTGATTTTTTGTATCCTTAGGAAGTCATTTGGAGCCTACTATCCCAGGGAATAGAATTACAACCATCTTTTAAGTTCTGTAAAACTTTTCTGTTGAGCACTGAATCCCAATTATAGAATTTATAAATATTTTTCCCCCACTGGCTACCCATTTAATCCCATCTCTAAATCATGTTATGTTTGAAACATCTTGTTCAGTAGAGTTTTATTTTCCTGGCTACCTCAATTTTAGCTGCTTGAAGAAAAAAAATATTTTCTGCAGAGGCTGAGATATGGATAAATACCAGTTGTTTCAAAGGGCTAGTTAGGAATCCAGTTCTTACCGCTTTTTCTCGAACACCCGCACCAGTATAACCAGTATTGTGGCAGAGAGACACTGGGCATAGAGTGGAGAAAAAACAATTAGAAATGATTCCTCCCTTCATGGAGCATGAAGTTTAGTGGAAGAGGCATAATACATCCTGATGGACTTTTATTTCTTTATTTAAAATTTTTTTTTCTCTTTATTGATATGAGAGAGAGAAACATCGATGAGAGAGAACATCGATTGGCCGCCTCCTGCATGCCCCACACTGAGGATCAGGCCCACAACCTGAGCACGTGCCCTGACCGGGAATCGAACCAGTGACCTCTTGGTGCCTAGGTTGATGCTCAACCACTGACCCACACCAGCTGGGCCTGATGTTCTTTTATAATATATGCATACAGTAATAACAGTGTTCTATAAATGTTGTGTTTTGTTCATATTCTTAAAATAAATTGCAAACTTCAATTTAAAATGTTCGTCCGTTGGTTTTTTCACAGTCTTTGCAGCTAAAAGGAAAACATGCTAAAACAAAGCAGGATTGTAAGATGTGCCTGTTTGTCACGTATTAATTAGATGATACTTTATTAAAGCAAAGTTTCTCAGCGCCGTTCCTTCAGCCATGGGATTTTGCTGGATTCTGCACGAGCAGATGCGTTGGTAGCGCTATACGGCCCTGCTGACCCCCCGAAACTCAGAGCGCTGGTCAGATCTGCCAGTAAACCCTCCCTTTCCGGCCCTAGGTCCAAGGATCTCATCAAGGAAGCCATCCTTGACAATGACTTCATGAAGAACCTGGAGCTGTCGCAGATCCAGGAGATTGTGGATTGTATGTACCCAGTGGAGTACGGCAAGGACAGCTGCATCATCAAAGAAGGAGATGTGGGGTCACTGGTGTATGTCATGGAAGGTAAGGTTGTCACTCTGTTCCCTTGACAATGAAACTGTCACACGCTTGCTTATTTTTGAGGCATTTCATCTGATCAGCCTGCACCCAGATGGCATGAAACAGTTTCTTGTCTCCCTTTTTTGTTGAGAAACAGTTTGAAAAGAGGTGAAACGCTACTTAGATGCAAATTGTATGAAGTACTTGTGTTCGGAATATTAACATGAGAATCTCATATTTTTTTCAGACATCAGGGAAGTATGAGAATGTGAAGGAAATGCTATCTGTTGCACTGACTAGGACCATACATTGTTAGATCACTAGCAAACTCACAAAGCTTTGAAGAGAGCTCAAGTCTGTGGGAAGTACGTTGGGTCAGATAATGGAAGTGTCTTCAACTCTACCTTTAACTTTCAGTGTATGATTAGGTTTTCTGCATGATGATTCCATAAAAAGAGAACGGAATGTTTTCAGTGTTTTATATGTATGTGATAGAGGCAGAGTGTCCAGGTTGGATGGCATTTTAGCTGCCTAATTACTAAGAGTGATAGCTTGTTTTCAGAAATCTTGGACAAACTATGATGGAAACTGCTTTGAAAAAAACTGAGGCATGCACTCTGGAAATATGTTTTATGCTTAGGTATATTTTCCTAATGTGTATTTCTAACTTGGAACTTATAATGGCATGTTTTCCCTTTGTGGAAAGAAAGAAACCCGAAGAAATGACTGTTGATTTCCTTTTAGTTAAAGTCACTACAGTGACCACAGTCTTATAAACTGATGCCGATCTGACCCCCAGCTGTCATTCTGGCCAGTTCAGTGTATCTTTGTCTACATCTTGTGCTAATATCCTTATGCCAGAATGAGTGAAAGCAAAACAAAACCCTGTCATTTAAATTTCTGTAAGTTTTAATTGAGGAAATGTTTCATTGCTTAATTAGTTTTTTATCAACACATTCAATCTCAGAATTTAGATAGCAATGTTCTTATTAGAGGCGGATTCTTTTTGTTCTATGAACATTAATATTTATAAAGGGTATACCATGCAATGATGAATGAATAGGCTAGAGAGGATCATTCACACACTTGCTTATTATCAAGACATTTAGAAAAACACCCAAGGAGTTCACCTGGAAAATCAGTCCAATTTCTCCTGTATCTTTTTGGTTAACGGAAGTATTCTTTATAAAATGCTTGTTTAACATGTGCCTTAAGTGGTTTTTATTTCAGCCTGGGAACTGTCCCAAGTATTATTGCATACCTGAATGCCAAAGTTTCTCATCGTTTTAATAAAAGATAATCTTCATATGGTAAGACTTCACAAATTAGGATGATTGGGAACATCATCTGGAGGCAGTGTAAATATATTATCATGTATTTTCAAGCAAAATGAGTTGTGTGACTTTCAGACACTAATTGCTGGCTTGTAGAAATTTCAGTTTCAAGTTTGAATCAGAATTGTTTGGTATTCGTTTGTTAAGGCAGCACTATAAGTAGATCAAGTTGTTTACATTTTAATTATATTTTCAGTTATATAAAAGATTCTTAGAAAATTCTTGAATATAATTTATTTCTTACATGAGTAGACATGGTCTTAATTATGATGTAATATTTGTTAATATCCTTATACTTTTGCCTTCTCTTTTTATAATCATAAAGGTAAACTTCACTCCACGGTCATCCAAAATAAAACACATTTTGGTTTAGTGATTCAGAATTGTTGATATGAATAAAATATCTTCTTTGGGAACTTAATCTAACATTTTCCTACTAAAAAATGTCTGTTTATACCAATTACCATGGTGAATTTGCTTAGAGATCCTGGTTTTGCACATTTTCTGTGATCTTTCATTATGGACGCAGATAGATTACATTTTATTTTCTAAAAACGTCAAGTGTCTGTTTAGTGTCTTTAACCATTGGCTGCTTTAAGTTAAACTTTGTGTGTGTGTGTGTGTGTGTGTGTGTGTGGTACGTGCCCCTATCAGGAACCGAACCCAGGACTCTCTGGTCCGCACGCCGATGCTCAACCACTGAGCCAGGGCAGTTCAGCTCCTAAATAAAATCATCAATGTTCTTTTATGAGATGCTTATTAATGATAATAGCTTTTATTAAGTAGTTATTTATGCCAGGTAGTGTTTAATCACTTTATGAGGATTTTAATCCTCATAACAACCTTAATAGGTAGGTATTATATTATCTGCATGTTAACAGATGAAAAACTAACGTGTGGATAAGTTAGATAACTTGGCCAAGATCCTACATCCGGTGCCAGGATTCCGGTACCTAGTGTTACCTTTCACAGCATACAGATTACACGTACTGTTGGCCCGTATTTGTTGCAGAGAGTTTTGGGAGCTCATATAAGATGCACAACATTAATCCATGAGATAAAAAATGATCTGAGTATTTGCCAGACAGCAACAGAACTTGAATGACAATGGTTCAAAAATAAAATAATCTAGATGTTTCCTATTGAGACCTTGCAGGATTTCCTGCGTCCTTTAAACACTTAAACTGCTTACTGACCTTCCTGTAGAGTGTCGCTCATCCATTCTTCTCCTCTTATTAGTTCCTTTTGTCTTATTGAAAAATGGCTGTGATTTGGCTTAATCTCGGTCCACTTCTGTGTCATTGTTTAGGACTAACCTCTGTTGTTTACCTTGAAGGCCCTATTTGTGTGTGTGTGTGTGTGTGTGTGTGTGTCTACAATCAATAGTATTGATTTTGTTTTTCTCACAGGTTTTTTAAGTAAAATTTCTAAGAAGGAACAATTCTTTCAGCCCTCAACATAATGATTATTTTGATAGGACTTTTCCATGCTAATTGTTTACAGCAATTCTTAGGAACTAGCCTCACGGTTCTTTAAAAAAAAAATTTTTTTTCCTTTATTGATTTTAGAGAGAAAGGAAGTGAGAAGGAGAGAGAGATAGAAACATTGATGAGAAAGAACACTGGCTGGCCACCTCCTGCATGCCCCACACTGGGGATTGGACCCACAATCTGGGCATGTGTCCTGACCTGGAATCGAACCAGCGACCTCTTGTTTCATGGGTCGATGCTCAAATAGTGAGGCACACCGGCTGGACATCGCCTCACATTTCTTTTTGTGACTGCCCTGAGGTTTCTCTCTTGTCTTCTGAAGACTGGTCATCTGCTTCTTTTTCAGTGAGTTGGTTGATACCAGGTCTGCCTAGTAGACTGATGTCTGCCACTCTTCATTCTCCTACCTGGATATGAATCATGCTAGCCATGATCGACAGTAAACTTATACAGATTCATACTGCGACTTGTATTCCTCCCGCCCCTCTCCCCAGAAACGTTTTACTGTCTCTGTGTAATTAAATGATATACTGAAAGCTGATTCTAAGAGATATTTTATATCAAATTGAACACTAATGATGAGCCTCACCATGTCAGTTGGCATTCAAAACACTGCCTGAGAGGATGAAGGGATGGAATGTATTTTCATATAAAGTAGCTCTCTCGGTAAATTTAACATGAGAGACGGGCCGTTTTATGCTCCCAAATCAGGTGTTACCTTTTGACCTATGAGTTTTTCATGTTAATCTGAGAACTATCTTTAGAATAGTTGAAATACCAATGCATTTATTTTTGCAGGTTCTTTTCAGGACCAAGCTTATAACGTTAATGTTAAAGAGAAGGCTTATGTACTGTTCATATAAAAAAAACAACCCAAAACAAAACAAACATCTATTTCTGAAAAATTATCATAAACAAGGACTCTCTGGAAAAATTAAATGAAAATATTAGACTATATTTCAGTTATGGAGTTAAGGGTAAAGACAGGGAACTGAGATATTTAGAAGGCATGTGGGATATCATGTCTATTTTGGGGTGCCACCCTTCAAAAATAATTCAATACACTTGAGTCAGTCTAGGAAGCATAACACAGATTTTTAAAAAAATTGACATTGTCTCATGTATATGGAAGTTTTAAGCGTTTTTAAGTGCTGAAAGATGGTTACACAAAAAGGAAATTATTCTGCATGAATCGAGATGACCATAGAAGACATGCAAGTTACAGGGAAGAACACTTTGGGCTCAGCCAATGTGGCTCAGTGATTGAGCGTTGACCCATGCACCAAGAGGTCACTGGTTTGATTCCCTGTCAGGGCACATGCTCAGGTTGTGGGCCCAATCCCTAGTTGGGGGCGTGCAGGAGGAAGCCAATCAATGTTCTCTCTCATCGATGTTTCTATCTCTCTCTTCCTCTAACATCAATAAAAAAAAAAAAAAAAAGATGACTTTGGAATTAATATTCTACTAATTAATATGTTGCAAAAGTGAAATAAGCAGCCTGATGGAATGGCAAGAACCCCATCTCAAGGGTATTCTAGCAGTGTCTATATGACATGTAGGAGGAGAAACTGAGTGTGGGCGGAGGAGAGAGTCCTCCGGATACATCTCCCGTCCCGTCTCCAAACTCCAAGATTCTTTCTGTGGATCCGTGAATGGATAGCCTACAAGTTAGTTTATGAGAACCCAGTCCTCCAAAGGTTTCCTCTCCACAACTCTCCCCTCTATGGAGTGCTCATGTTTACTTTTAAAAGTTTTTGTGACACCGGGCCAGTGTGGCTCAGTGGACTAAGTGTTGTTCTATGCACCTGCACCAAGAGGTCGCTGGATCAATTCCCGGTCAGGGCACATGTCCAAGTTGTGGGCTTGATCCCCGGTGGGGGGCATGCAGGAGACAGCCAATCGATGTTTCTCTCTCATCCATGTTTCTTTCTCTCTCTTTTCCTTCCTCTCTCTCTAAAATCAATAAAGAAAAAATATTTAAAAAAAAGATTTTGTGATTTATATTATAGAAAATAAGACTGCATGCATTTTTTCTGCTACTTAATTTTTGCTGTTCAATAATATTTTCTGTATATATCCCAATTTATATATCCTTTCTACTATTGATTATATTAGAATTATTTCTAGTTATTTTGCTTCTGATGACTAATGATATTGAACATCTTTTTATATGTTTATGTGGTTTGTCCATGATTTCTTC